AGTGCCTCATTGAACGGCGCCTGGTCCGCCATGATCGCCGAGGTCACCTCCTCGAAGGTCCGGGCGAGGCGCATGGACATGGCGAGCTGGTGCGCCGTGGCGTCCCAGTAGGCGACGACGGCCTCGAGCTTGCTCGAGTGAAGCCGGGCTTTGGTCGTCCACCAATCGACGTACCTAATGACGCCGGCCTCTGTCCCACACCGGTCAGGACCCACGCCCAGCGGATGGCGTCCAGGCCGTCGACGACGGCCCAAATGCCCCTCGGGACGAACGGCTGGTTCTCCTCCACCGCCAGGCCGCCGTCCACGAACTTAGGGGATTGACGACGCCGAGGGAGGACCAAGTCCGGGCCGCCAGGATCTCGCCGAGGCCGAGCGGCGTGTAGAGCTTGGACTTGGTGTGCTCCCAGTGGATCCTGGCGAGCACCTCCTCTGCTCCGACGAGGCGCTCCGCCGGGAACGAGCGGGGCTCACCCCCGAGCTGGACGGCGTTGTAGCGGGCGACGAGGTCGGTCCACTCCGGGAAGGTCCGCGGGCGGCTTCTCGCCGACCGTCGTCGGCAGGGTGGCCGGCGGCGGTGCGGCCGTCGACGGGGCCGGGGCAGGGGTGGAGAACTCGTTCCACTGCCGCCGGGCCTCCGACCACATGTGGCGGATGATCGCCCGGACGACTGGCTGCTCCGCCGGCGTCGCTTTGTATGTCTTCCCGGCGATCTCGTCGCCGTCGCGGAACGGCTGGAAGACCCTCGCGTCCACGTCGGACCACTCGTCGGCGACGAGGGCGAGGGTAGCCGTGCGGTTGAGAGACCGCGCCTTCAGGTACTCGACGAGGTCCGGACCCGCCCCCGCCGACGTGGCGAGGTCGTCGAAGTCGGTCAGGACGTCGGCGACGAGCTGCGGACCCATAGCCATGATCACGACGAGGGGGCCGGCGGGGATGGACGGGCGGTGCGGTCAAAGGCGGGCTGCGGCACGAAACAAGATGCACTGTGCGCAGCGACGGGCTCGCCAAGTGCACGGCACCGGTCCCTTTTCTCAGGACGACGAAGAATCGTCGGAATCTGAGCTAGATGCCACTGGGGAGGCTGCCTCCTCCGTCGGCGACCCGACACCGTCAGCCGACGGGGCCTTCGGAAAGCACCTAAGGCACTTGGCGGCTCCCGCCGGTAGCTCGGTGATCCTATAAAAACTCCGGACGCCGTATGGCCAGGAACAACCCTGCGCTTTCCACAGAAAGCGGTCCGACGAGGCCTCCGTCGGATCAGGGGCGTGAGCCCGTTTCTGCCGCTCATTGTAAATGAGGTGCTCCGGCGGCGCGACGGCGACCTGCTTCACCGTCTCAGGTCTGACGGGGCCGGGCTCGAACGCGACCGTCGGGGAGTGATCCTCGTGCGGCGGCGTCTCCACCTGAGCCGGCTCTCCATCCTCCAGGGCCAGCGGCGGCTGATGGCCGAGAGCCGGTGGAGCCTTGGCCTGCGAGATGGCGTCGCCATACGCCGGCCGGACGCTGACTATCTCGACGTCATCCGCCAATAAGCGCCGGGGGACGTCCGGGGCGACTGCCAGCGGCGCTGCCTGGACGTACCGCTCGACGGCGGCCGACGACCATCGGCCCAGCAACTGGATGATGGGCGTGTTGACGCCCTTGGACGCCAGCCACGCTGCGCCGGCCACCCGTTGGACGGTGGCGCCGTTGTGGTCGGTGGTGGTCAGCTGGATCCCCGCCGGCAGCAGGACCCGCCGGAAGAAGAGGACGGTCTCTGACTTCTCCCAGGTGTCACCGGTCCCGTCGGGGAACAGGGGCGCCCCACGCACCCACCGTCCGGCACGCCGAAGGCGGGAGACATGGCGTAGCGCCGCGTGGTAGGGGCACAACGGCGCCACGGTTGCCCCACAAGCGCACCGTAGCTGGCGTTGGGTCAGCTCGACCTCGCCGCCGGTCGCGGTCTTGTGCAGGGGAAGCCGGAGGGCGACAGTGCCGTCGGCGACATCAATGTCCTGCGTCCGCGCCGCTGAGAACTCGATCTCGCGGAGCATGAACCAGGATAAGGGCGTCGACGGCGTGTGCCGTGACCCACGGGCTCCACGCGTCGGCCCCCGGCGGGTCCACCCTGGAGACCAGGGCCACCAGGCGGTCGACGGCGAAGATGGCCTTCAGCTTCGAGCCGGGCAAGCCACGGACCACTGTCCGGGCATAGCGTCGCATGGCCCGCCGGATGAGGGGGTCGACGGCCTCGCCGCGAAACTGTTCCTGGTAGGACACGGCGGCGTCGAAATAGTTCTGCCCAGATCTTCCAAAAGACCTTATTTAAGCTTAAGGTGTTTTTTTGTTTTTCAAATAAGGTGTTTTTCCTTAAATAAGGTGTTTTTTTCATACCTTAATTAAGGTGTTTTTTTTTTAATACAGTCATATACACTATATACACATACTTATACATAGCGAGAGAAACCAACAAACAGAATTTCACATACACACACACACACACACACCCACACACACACACACACACAAAAAAAAAACACAGACACACACAGACACCGGAGTTTCTGTGTCTCTCTCTGTCTCTTTGTCCGTACGAGCTGGAGCAATTGATTTGCTTGGAAGAGATAGGTGCAGCATTCCCGCAGATTATGCCATGCATGTGCAACTTCCTCCTGCAGTCTTGTTTTGGCTGCAGCGGCCTCCTGTAGAGATGGCCCGAGCCCGCAATGAAGCGAGTGCAAAGGATATCAAGAAAGTATTGAAGGGGAATGGCTTTGCAGATGCCCCTAAACCAGACCAGTATATGAACTTAAGCCTGGATGAGGTCGTGGCTGAGTACAAGGTTTTGATCCTGGACGTCTTGAAGGAAACCAGCAGGCCCACCGTGAAGGTACTCCTTGCTGGCTGCATGAGCTTGTTCCCGGAATCCAGTAGAGAACTTTGCAAGCCTTGGTGCGAGAAGCTTGTGAATGCGGTATGTCATTGTCGCAGCAAGCGCAGTTGCACGTCTGGGAAGAAGCTACCACCTGCCGTTCGTGAGGTGGTCATGTTCTTGAAAGGCATGGGCGGCAGTGTGGCACGAGAAGTCTCCAGAAGCAGCTTCAGTTCTTCTGCATCCAAACCTGCTGCAAGTCCTCGGCCCTCGCCCTCTTCGGTGGCTCCTGCGACTCGCAGCAGCAAGGAGCAGATCTTCACACAGTACGGCCTGGAGGCGCCAGTTTCAGATCCAGGTGCAGAGGTGGAGGAGACTGGGCTGTCTCCTGCCCACGTGCAGGAAGTGTTTTCCTCGCAGGAGGTCATGTCTCCTACTCAGGAGGCACCTCCTACGGCAGCTTTGCCAGTGGAAGACAAAACTTCGGGCGGAGACGGGTCTGCTGAATACCAAGAGTACTTCGACTCTGCTCGCCTCTGCATGGTTCGTGCTTATCCCAGTGGGGCTTTGGTGATGGCAACGATGCAAAAAGGCGAAGACGGATTCCAGAAAGCTTTGTTCCCTGGCTCGGCGGAGGCAGTGTCCACAGAGATCCCAAATCTGCGAATTCAGCGGATGAAGCGGCCGGCTGCTCGAGTGATGAAAAAACCGGCTGCCAAGAAGAGGCCGGCTGCAGCACCGACAACGGCAAGTGCTTCGGCTAGCTCTGCCAGCCTCGAAGAAAACGAGGACAGTGGCATGGAGCCCCAGCCATCAGTTGCGGAGGAGCAGCCGGAGAACGTAGCTGCTGCACAGCAGGATCGTGTGGGACGGCGCACATACACCATCATGTATTACAAGGCGCCCAGGCACAAGAAGGCCATTCGGCAGAAGCAGGCTCCCTTCTCACAGCTGTTCCAGTTCGGCCGAAAAGGCGTCCCTGTTTGGCAGATGGACAGGATCGCAAAAGCATGTGTCCAGAAGCTTGAGAGCGGCGAGCTTGAAGAAGCTGATGCCGAAGATTGGTGTAAGAGTCGCCTCGCACAGGTCTGACTGATCATGTCTGTGAGCGAGGCAAATGATTTTCACACTATGCTTGCCATCTAAGCAAACGAGATGCAAAAGGAAAGGCCCCTGCAATTTCGTGTGCAAGCTTCGCATGCAGTTTCCGTCGCCGTGTTCGTCTTTTGTTTTCCTGGCATGTGAATTGAAAGGAATATTCGCAGCGACTTTTCGGCCCAACATCTGCAGAACTCAGCAATGGAAGACTTGCTGCAATCGCTCGCCCGAGTCCAGGCTGGCCGGAGGATTTGGGAATATCTTGATCTACAAGACCAGTTTCAGGTGGCTCAGGTACACACGGCCTGGCTGCTGGACGTCCAATGGTCCATCTTCGGCGACAGCATCCACCAGTTCAGTTGTGCAAGGGCGACCGACCTCATTTGGGCTTTTCTTGTTCCTCGAGATCGCAAAACCGTCCAAGCCGTACACGAGCTTTGGCATAGCGATATTCGTTGGTTTGTTTACCATGAAGGAGCAAACTATGTTTCGAGTGATGACACCCCCCGGGCAGCTGGTTAGATCAGTTGGCTAGGATTTTGTCCTATAAGGAGCCTGGAAGCGGCGAAAAGGATGCCTTGCGATATTGGACAGTGCCTAAAGCACGTCTTCGTGTGGAAGGATGTCAAGGAGGGCCTCCTTTGGAGGAGGCTCTCCTAGCTGGGATATGCGGTGTTTGTTTTTCATTCCACGTTCAATGTTTTGTTTTGGTATATGTTTGGTATATGGTTATTGAACTTCGTTTGTGAGAGGGGTGGGGGTTGTGACTTGCGGGCTTTGACAGTTTAGGGGCACGGCCTTTAGAGACATTCTGAGTATAGTATCCGGCACATGCTCTGGTGTGTAGTGAAAAGCTGCAGCTAGAAGTGCGTGCGAGATCTTGTTGTCTTGCAAGGAGGGCCTCCTATGGAGGAGGCTCTCCTGGGTCCTGCAAAGCACTTGCGCTTTGTATGTTGCTGCTGTGAAACCATGTGTGCGCTGAATGCATATAATGCAGCTTGCTTTGGCTCGAACCCTGTTCCTTTTGCACTCTCGGCCAGCCCGTTGCAATGGCGACGACGGGCACCAGCTACTACAGCGGCGGCGGCTCAGGCGGCGGCGGTTGGGGCTCTGGCGGTTGGGGCTCAGGTGGCTGGGGCGGAGGAGGAGGTCGCGACGACAAGTCGTACTGGGAGCCATGGAAAGACGACGAGCCGGACGAGGATCCGGATGATGAGCCGGAGTATGACCTGAGGTACTGTCAGTTCTGCAAATCGTATGGGTACATCCGCAAAGACGGCTGTGTCAACAAAAAGTGCAGCTTGGCTAGCAGTTATTTGTAGCGGGGGGTTACAGTCTACAGAAGTGTTTGGGTGCATCCTCTAATCCTTTAAGTCTCTAAGGCCCATAACACCTCGAGCCCGAAGCTCCAAGCCAGAGCCCTTAACCCTGAAAACGAGCAAGGCGACTACTATATCTACAACCCCAACCGGTCGGAGCCGTGGAACCCCTACAAGCAGAAGGGAGGCAAGCCGGACTACACCCCGAAGGAGTTCGATGATATCCACGGTGCCAATGTTTCGCAAAACATCAAGAAGAAGAACAAGAAGAACAAGGGACTTAAGCGGAAGCAATGGCAGGAATCGGTCAAGCAATGGCATGCAGCTTGGCACTAGGGAGGGTCTCCTATGAAGGAGGCTCTCCCTGAATTGCAACCTTCATGTAGAAATGTAGGGTCCTAGCTCTGTATAAATCGTACATGGGCTCCTGTCTATGTGTAAGGGATTAAAGGAGGGTCTCCTATACAGGAGGCTCTCCTATGTAAAGACCAAGGCTGCTGGCTGCCCCAAGGGCAAATGGTGGGGTGAGACGGAAGCGGAGAAACGTCCACGAGAGGGTCCTGTTGCCGCTGGGCCGCAATACTCTGCTGTTTTGCTTCAGCTTGCGCGTGCTTTGAGCCAAGGCCGTCGATCCGGAGAAACGTCGCCGCCAAGCAGAGGCAGCAGAGGCTCGGAGCCAGGCGGCGGCACCAGCTTCGCCAACGGGGTCATGGATTGTGTTGTCGTACGGGTCTCGGTTTTCCTTTAAGTTCGGTGGAAGCCGTCTGCATCCTGAGCGACCCAGGCCCGTCGCCCCTGCAGCTGGAAACGATCAAGGACAGTTTGTGTGTGTGTGTGTGTGTGTTTGTTTTTTCGGAGCTTCTGCTGCAGGAGAGCCACATGCGGGCGACAACCAGGAGAAGGAGAAGGGGGAGAAGGGCGGCGACCCGGCGGACAAGTGATGGTTGCTGGGCGGCAGCAGGGTGGACTTGGGGAGGGTCTCCTACCGAGGAGGCTCTCCCTATAGGCCAAAAGGGTGCAGCGGTTCTAGTTTCGGGTATTTTGCTTGGGTCGGGTTGGACTTGTACTAGGTGACACGGGCCCTGGATCGGTTTCTAGAGTGCAGCCCAGAGTTTTCACATCATTGGCACCATGTTGTTCCTGTGTACTAGTAACATGTGTTTTGGGTTTAGGGTGGTTTGGTGAAGATCCCGAAAGATTTCGTTCAGTAAAGAGGCCAGCCCCCGAAAACGAAACACAAGTTTGGAAACAGTTTTGCAAGCTCAGTCGGGAAAGACCAGGGTTAAAATTTTTAACCGATGGGTTAAAATTTTTAACCCTGCTTGCTTTTAAATATATAAAGGAAGGGTTAAAAATTTTAACCCATGGGTTAAAAATTTTAACCCTAGGGGTGTCTGCTGCCTCAGGTTCTGCTGTGGCTGTGGCGGCTATGATCTGAGCTCCTTGGCTGCAAAGGTTTCGGTTTGGTCTGTTGTCGGGCTTGTGTTTCCTGGTGTTGCCGGGTGCAGTTTCTTCGTGTCGGGGCTTTCGTGCTGAACTGTTCGGGGTGTGTCGGGGGGGGGGGGAAGTTTTGGTGGGCTAGAAGTTTTGTTTTGTGTTGTTGGGGGGGGTGGGGGGGTGGGTTGGATGGGCTGGTGTTTCTGGCTGTTAGTGGTTGGCTGGGGGTCGGGCTTGGGAAAAAGCTAGAAGCAACCCCTAAACCAACAACCTCAACAAATCCCATCCCAGGTTGCTTGGCGACCGTGCTCTTCCGTGGCGCTTGGAAAAATGCGACCGTCTGCGGTGCCGTGTGGTACTGACGAGGAAGAGGTTCCCAGGAGGGCTCTCCTATAAAGGAGGGCCCTCCTTTTTGGCGATTGGCAAGTTGAGGGTCGAGCTTGGTCCTTGGAAGATTTTCGGACACATGTTGCAGTGCTTTCCTAGGAAGTCCACCTCAGCCTTGCATGTGCATCCCAAACCGATGTTCACTTGTAGGAGGATCCTCCTGTGAAGGAAGGTCCTCCTAGATTCTTGCAAAAAAAAAAACGTGTTTTCACGAAGCTGCTTTGGGCTCCTGACGTGCTGGCCTCCTCGCCTCCTGCACCCGTCCCCTGCAAGATGGGGCTCCTCCGCAGTCGCAGCGCTGTCGCTCAGGCCGTCGCCAAGAACAAGGCGAAGACCACCGCCAAGGCCAAGACCCAACCGAAGGCCACGGCAAAGGCCAAGGCCGCAGCAGCCTCGCCGAGCAACCACGAGACCACCTCCCCCCGCAGAAGGCGAACCAAGTCGGCCGCAGGGGAACCTGTCAAGACGGAGCCCTTGTCGCCCCAGAAGCCGAAGGAAACTTTGGGGATGGCCAAGGCAGAGGTGGCAGGCTTGCTCACAAGCCTCAAGTACCAAATCAAGGCTAAGAAAATGACGGAGAAGCATCGCGAACAAGCGAACGATATCTTGCTGAAGTACCAACAGTCTGGCGTCCATGGAAAAAAAGAAATATTGCAGAAATTGCAAACGAGCGGGCTTCGTGACCTCAGCTGGTTCGCCGAGATGCAAAGCGAATACCAAACGCAAAGCGTGGACAAGGAGAGCACCACGAAGGGCTACTTCAACAGGACTTTTTTTATGCTCAGTTTTTTATTTTCAGTTGGCATTTCAAGTAAGATTGGTTTGTAATGTTACTCGAATGATTTCTCCAGGAGCCAGATCCTCAAGATGAACGGCCTGGACCCGAGCAACATGGACGAGGCTGTGGCTGCTGACACGCTCAAGGACTTGATCGCCGACTGTGAGGCAGAGTTTGGTTTCAAGTCCGACTGCAAGCCTCACAAGAACCCCTTGCTGGCCAAGTACTACTACAAGCAGAAGGTCGAAACGGAGGACACAGCTGCCACGAACTCGCTGGGCTGGAGCAGTTGCGCCAACGTGGAAGGAAGCGACCTCGGCAGGCTCGTCGAGAAGTTCGACAACCCGGACCTGGAGGTGCCCGCCAACGAAGAGGCTTGGAACAAGGCCTACAGTGCTTGCAAGGCCGCCAAGAGCAAGCTGGGGAAGGTGGCGGACGAGCTCGAGGAGCAGCACGCCAAGCTGGTTGCTCACGGTCCCCAAGCGGAGGCGGACGAAGTTGGGCCCAAGATCGAGACCCTCCGAGGCTTCTTGAAGACTTTGCGCTTCAAGATCAGCGAGTGGATGAACATGAGCGAGGGATGCATGGAAGCGAAGTTGCCGGAGCTCACCCAGCTGAGTGAGGAAGCCACCAGCCACCTGGCTGCAGCCACGGCCTACAACAAGAAGTTGAAGAGCCGCTTCGGTGTCTAAGCTTGCACAAATCCATCTTTTGCGATGGATGCTCATCCGATCTTGAGAGCTGGAAGCTTCAGTTTTGGCGGCTTGTGGAAAATGGCAAACTGGCTTGCATGCCATGTTTTGGTTTCGCTGAGTCGCTAGGTCAAAACTGCTCGCTCGGAGTTGCAAGTCTCTGCTGCCGTGCATTTCGCTTTCGCTGGGCTCGAATTCTAGGATGGCACTCCTACGAAGGATGTGCCTCCTGTGCAGACATGCTGAGCAAAGGGCCGGCATCTAGTTTGGAGCATATCGCAGAGGAAGATAGATTTAGACATGATTGCATGGATTTGTTTTTTTCTGGAAACATCAGTGGAGCCAGAGCCAGTCGACTCTGCGAAAATGCTGGGCTCGCAGGCGCCAAGGGGGTCAAAGATCTGGCCCAGGCTAAGCAGGGAAGCAACACTGCCAGGAACTTGCTTCGGCGCAATCTTCGCCGAACACCGTGGCCGCCGCCATATGAGTGCCAAGTCCGGGGCAAGAATCCAAGGACTGGCAAGGAGGACCTCTACACCCTGGCCTTCATGCTTCCGCACGAAGTGCTACACGTTCTCCTGGAGTCTAACGATGTTTCGGAAATCAGAAATCAACAAGCTCGGATTCCCAACTTGCAAGAGCAACTTCAAGAGCACGGCAATGATGTCCTGCTGTTGGGGCTGTGGCTAGACGGTGTACCGTTTAGCTCAGACCGTAGCCAGACACTGCAGTGTGCAACCCTCAGCTTGCCAGGGCTTACAGATGCTGGCGACTTTCGCTTTCCACTGACAGGGTTTCCAAAATTCTTTCAGATGCCTGAAGCTACCTGGGATGATGTCACGGCTATCATTGCTTGGTCGATGAGATGCTGTTATACTGGCTTCTTCCCGTCCTTCCGTCACGACGAGTCTCGTTTCCTTGGCAACGACAGCTGGCGAAAGAGGAGAGCCTCGCAGCCGCTAGGCTGCCGGGCAGTCTTGGCGGAAGTGCGGGCGGATTGGTCGGCATACCAGGAAGTGTTGCGACTACCTGGCTGGACTGGCAACGGCCCAATCTGCTGGTTTTGTCAAGCGACTTTGCAAGATCTACATGATGTTGACGAGAGCAGCTCTTGGAGGACACTTTGCTCCAGGAGGTGCCTCCTATCGAGGAGGCATCTCCTCATTGATTTTTCCGTTTCTAGGATAAGGAGGGGCCTCCTATTGAGGAGGCCTCTCCTTTTTTTTAACATGACAACGAAATTCTCACACAAATGCCATGAATCCCTGGCTTCAGCGGAGGTGTTTTCCAACTGCTTCCGCTTCGGTGGCGTTAAGTCTGCGCTTCGATCTTACAGATCGAAGTAGTCGATCTTACAGATCGGTGTTGATCTTTCCTTCCGCTGGGAGGACCGACTGGTTCCCAGGCGGTGCTCGCAGACAGGAAGCAGAGGAAAATTTAAAGTAATATCGAAGAGGGTCGGGACGGGTGGGTGAAACAAAATTTCGCTCAAGCTGTAACAGCTTTCGCCAAAATGGCCACGGAGTATACAATCATTCGACATGAATCGGTGAGTCAATCCCCTGACCGATTCGGTGTTTAAGTGAGATATGAAGTTGTCACTTCGCACAAACAAGTGTGTGCTACACGACAACGAAATTCTCACACAAATGCCATGAATCCCTGGCTTCAGCGGAGGTGTTTTCCAACTGCTTCCGCTTCGGTGGCGTTAAGTCTGCGCTTCGATCTTACAGATCGAAGTAGTCGATCTTACAGATCGGTGTTGATCTTTCCTTCCGCTGGGAGGACCGACTGGTTCCCATCGAGTGTGGTCGCGTCCTCCCATCGCAGGCGAACGCCACTCGAAAGAACATTAGCGTAACATCGAAAGCAAATGATCGTGCAATCGGTGAATTTCGGGTAAGTCGGAAAAACCCGTCGAGGAAGCAAAATGGATATCTCCTATGATCTTCGCAGCTCTACTCGTCAGTGCATGAAGAGGCAAATCGAGTTTAGTCCAGCTCTCAGACTCCGGAACGTTCTCAAAGCGGCTGATCCCGTCGGAGATGTTCGCCTTGGTGGGTACCCGCTCAAGTCGATGTGCAATACTGCGTCGATTGTGCCAAGTCCAATGTGCCGCAATGAGGCAATTCAAAGGTTGATGTTTGCCGACGCCCTTGAGTAGGGCGTGTCGGGAGGCTTCGTTGTCGCAGCATTGAACGTAGAACTGATCCAGCCACGGTTCGAAGACCAACGGTGCCAGTATCGCTACCCATGCTTCGAGAAGGTAGATGAAGGCCTGGTCGGAGGCAAACTGTCGAACGAGTAGTGAGGGAAGACGACCCTGGAAGTAGGCGGCGGTTCGCACGTCACCGTGGTGGAAGCAAACCGCCGCCCAGCCGTTTTCGATGTCGGACGTCGACTTTGAGTCCCAATTCGGGATGTCGTTGTCTCCCGGCTTGTAGATGGTGGAGCCAAGCCGGAAGTATGCGTCCGTGTAGATGACGCTGTATGTCGTCTTGGTCGGTGTACGTGGTATCGTCATTGGTCGGCAGTGCTGTATGATGTCCTTGAGGGCGAGTAGTGATGAGCGCGTGGGCTTGTCGAGGGCATGTGAGTAGGAGTGAGCTCGAGAATAAAGTGCCTTCAGGGCCGCTCGGCCCACCTTGCCAAATAGTCTCCCAGTCAGGAAGTTGCACTTCCCGGCCATCTTCCTGGCTTGTTCGGGGGACAGTGACGAAGTAGCCAGGTGTGTGTCGATTTGTCTACACATGTTTTCGACTCTCTTTGGACAAGGTGTGAGGACCAAGTTGTCGTCGTCGGATGAAATGATGACTCCTTGTATACGATGTGCTGTTTGTGGTGGTTGACGTTTACTGGGTTTCATCGATATCTGGAGACATCCGTTGTACTCCTCGAAGGACTCGAAGCTGCCTTTGGCGAGGTCGGAGTCTTCCATGGATCCGTAGTCGTCGACGTAGTGCATGGCCGGAGACAAGATCATCGTTCGGCTGCAGGCCACGAGAATGTCGCCGAATCGATTGTAAGACCAGACACTTGCGGCCGATCCGAAAAGAAGGACATTGTGGCTCCACAGTGTTGGGCCGTCCGGGGTCAGCAACATCACATAGGCTTCTCGAGGATCACGAAGTGGAAGTTGGCGATAAGCCCCGTCGTGGTCATGTCCCCAAACAGACAAGGGTTTCGAGTGATCGGTTCGGAGTGTAGCGAGTCCCAAGGAAATAAAGTGGTCGGGTGTGTGATGGTACGGTTGGTCGTGCATGGTGCAGGTCGCATTGTGGCCACTCCGGCGCCAATCCTCGCCTCGTCGAACTTTGTTGTTGCCGTCGCTGCCGGTCTGTTCGATGCTGAAAGCCATGGCGATGTAGGGATCGGAGTGTGGTAGTGGTAGCAGGGCTCGATGTTTCCCTTTCGGTGGTACTGTGGCGGCTCGAGGCCACCAGTCGGGGGCTTGATACGGTCCGTTCATGCGTCCCATGTCGACTTCGGCCAGGATTTCATCCAGCATCAGTTCCCAATGTTCGTCGACGGAGTTCTTCTCGATCTTGTCGTGGATGTACTGTCGGTTCTTGTCACCAAACTCGTCGATCGGTGTGGGTTCGAGATATTTGAGGTCTTGTCGAACGTGCCAGTTGATGCCTGGGGTCAACTTACCCATCAAGGGGAAACCTTCGGAGAGTTCACGATATATCAGCTCTGTTTGCGGGTATTGGATCAGTCGTAGTAAGTGAACGAGTACTGGGATCTGTGTGACTGAATCCTTGTGTCGGTATGCTCGTTGTACGTGTTCTGGGAGTGTGTGATACCAGGCCATGGTGTGATCCTCCATGTCTTCGACGAGCTCGCGGATGTCGGCGATGATCGCTTTCTGGAAATCTACGAGTGGGTGAAACACATGTCGATGCTGTAGGCACCACTCGAGGGTAGGATCCAATGGCTTCGGGGCCAAGTGTGTGTCACGATGAAGTGCCCAATCGAGGTGTTCTGTCCAGGAGAACTGAGGCATGTAGTTGTGTGTCGTGGAACGAGGAGGAGGACCGAAAGGGACTTTGTGGTGTAGCCACAAGGCGGTAATCTGTTGGAGAGCCGAAGATCGCGGTGTGTCGGGGATGGTCGCGTTGACGGTCCCGAGAAGCAACAGGAACATGATCCAAACTGCCGTGGGAAGATGCCAAGAGTTGCCCAAAGCAACGCATCGTTTGGTTTCGTCGCCCTGGGCGAGTGTAGCGGTGTAGTCCAGCGGTAGACCTTGAAGTTGTTCTCGAAGTGTGGCGGGTGCTGTAGACCATGTGCCGTCTGGCAATGTCACCAAGAACTGTTCCTCGTACTGCCACACGGGGTATCGACGATTGTCCTGTTCCCATCGTTGCCACGCATCATGTGAAGTCGAGCGATCTCGGAGATGTGTAGGCGGATCTCGGCCCGTTGTCGATGTTGATGGTGTAGTCAAGCAGTGAAAAAGTTTCTTGTCGCTATGGAGGCATGGGGGAAGGGAGTAGTCCTTCGTCTTGATGTGTGTCTGCAATTCCTTAGCGATCGGGTTGTGGAGTCGGTGCCATGTTCCCTCGAGTTTCCAGTCCAAGGACCAAGGTGTGAGTCGTGGAAGGCGTTCCTCGATGATGTTCCAAGGGATCGACGTCCACCACAGCCGCTTCCGGTGCATGATGCCGGCGTCGGCTGCATCGACGACTATGGGATCCATACTCAGTGGCGATGTGAGCTCGAGCAAGTTGTCGTGAACATCCGGGTGAGGGACCACGTTCTCGAAGATCGTTTCAATGGCGATGCCAGTGAAGCGTTTCCGGAGTTGGTGTTCGATGCCCACCATGTGACTGAAAAGCCAACCCGATGTGCCCTCGGAGCCTGGGGGTCGGTGACGCAAGTTCGAAAAATCGGGGCAAGGTGGTCCAGCGGTTATCACCATTATGTATTGTTGATGGAGAGTAGCAGCATCGATGTGCTCCGCGACGGACTCGATGTCGAACTGTGTCACGTCCCCC